CATACTTTGATGACCGTAAGGTCTAAGTACATGTAGTGTATGCATATTGTGATGACCATAAGGTCTGAGGACATGTTATTTATGCATACTATGATGACCATAAGGTCTGAGTAAAGGTTGTTATGCATATTGTCACAAAAGTATTTTCAGAATGGCATTTTACTATTGCGAATAAGGTCTGAGTATGTTTCTATTTGTACAACAATGATGACCATAAGGTCCAAGTAAATGTTGTGTATGCATACTGTTATGAAAGTATTTTCAGAATGGGTTTTTACTACTGTCAATAAGGTTCGGGTATGCTTCTACTAGTGCAACAATGATGGCCATAAGGTTTGAGTATGCTTCCATGCATAAAACTTAAGGTCTGTACAAAAAAAGACAAAAATATAGGCTTGCACAGTTTAACAATATATCCTAAACCAAAATCCTAAAACCTAAAAAACTCCAATAGATGTACCTCATGATTGAACATGGTCTTCATCATCACCTTCAATTATGATGTGTCCTTGACTTTCCTCAATAGTGTCATTACTCACCCCTAGTTGTTGGCGTGAAATATGTTTTGTGGCTTCCAAAAGACCCACATCTACCTTTATGGTAATTGGAATCTTCCCTTCTGTGATCATCCTATCCTTTGCATGGTGTGGTAGCTTGTAGTTGTTCCCTCCTTCCACTTTCATTATTTCTAGCATGACATACTGATAGCTTAACCACACTTTGCCAAGGTCTAGTATGTTCAGATATGGAGAATTGGGTGGTTGGTTAGTAAGGGTGATATTAAACTCATCAACCATGGATGCAGCCATATAATTTGCATCAAATTGTGCAATGTGTGGCCTTGCATTTTCTTGTTGTATTATAACGTCTTTGATTAACTGTTGTGGCCATTTTTCCTTGATTGCTTGTATGACTGTATTGATTAACATGTCCTACACTTGTTTTGTGATGCAAAGTATAGGCTTTGTTTCCATTAGACTTGCATCTCTATTTTTGCTTCTTCTTTTTGCTGCAACCTTTTCAACAAATGGAAACCTACCTATTTTTCATTCCAAATCACTTCCCCATTGTCTGAAAATAGAGGCATACCCACTACTCCCAGGGACATAAACTTAGTTATGAACCTCTTTGACTTGCACACTCTGCGTGGATCATTCTCTTCCAAACCCATGTAAAAGCATTGTGAAGTTTTTTATATGAAGACCCAATTTTCATCGATGTGTATCGCATTTTCAAAACTTTGAAAACTTGGCTTACATAACATCGATTTGTCAACTTGCCTAAGATAGAACTTAAGTCTTTCAACTTTATTTGCATCAGTTAGGAAAGGCTTAATTGGATTTGTGTGACTTCTAAGCACACCTCTATGAACCAATTTGTGGATACTTTACTTTGATATTGAACTGGGAGAGGCTAATGCCCTTGTGTTAGTCCTATATAGTGGGATCTCCGATATGTTGGATACATCATATTCAATCCGTTTTCTTCCAGATTTTCGAGGACACTTCCTTCGCACATCTACTGCATCGCCTTTTACAATTTGTTTTTTTGCTATGTCCCATATGCTGAAAATAGTTCTTCTGTACATCTGAAATTGCGAAGCAAGTTTACTTAAAATACCTTTCTGAGCTATCGAATTCCCCAAAAATTCTCTACTACTGGCCAGTAGGAGTGCATATGCTATGCTATGTCTTTCTATGTTTGTAGCCTTTTTTTGGTTGTTAGCCCTACTTCACCCTCATCCACTGTTATTATGTGTAGGTTTGTTGGGGCAGATGAGGAAGAAGAGAAGCATTTATGGTACTTGAAGGGAGAACATTGGAGGAAGCTCTCATAAATCATTTATTGTGTGTGTGTGGAGTGTGTTGTTATGTAAATGTGAGGAGTGAATGGCTGAACATGTGTATTTGTAGCCTCTAAAAATAGAAATTCCCTCCAAACGTATGAAAGAAGTCAAGTGTGTCGTCACATTTAATGGACATCAATCAAATCAAAGCTTCCATTTTTAATTTATTTTTACTCCTTTTATATACCCCTCTCGGTTGAAGGTTTTTCCCGGCAAGTCAACCATTTTTTTGTTACCTAAAATGCGGTCAAAGGCAATGTGGGAAGTATTTATTGAAACGGATGGAGTATATTATAAGTGAAAATGTAATGTTAGTCTTATTTAATGAAACTAAACATGAATGAATTTCTATTTATGTAAGACTCCTATAATTTAATCCTATTTAGTGCAATTTTTTTAAAGCAAAATACTACTCAATTGTTTTTATTACACAATACATTGAAAAAAATACATATTGAGCTTATGTTTAAAACCAAGTATAGAATTTTATTTCTCAAGAACACTACCAACTCATGAGTTAGGGTGATTCTATTCAGAGCCCCCAAATTACTATTCACATCCACTAAATTAAATATTAATGACTAAAAATAATTGTAATACCTAAGTTACACTTATTGCTAGTGACCTAAAAAATCCTCCAAAGTATTGCTTGATAAGAACCTTCTTTGGTTCATTAAATAATGATCATAAAAATATGAAGTTTGCAATCTTTCAATTTCCTTTCAAGATTAGTTGAAGATAATTGTTTTACTCTTATTCAGTTAGAGTTTTTTTTGAAACATATAATTTGTTAATATTCAAAAGCAGTTACAAATGTAGGAGGGCATAAACTAAGGCGTTTAGCCAACCCCTTCGAAGTGGCATACCCCAAAGTATGCAAAACTAGAGATTTGAATCTCATTATCTATCACACAGGATGTCCTCATCTAAGAGGCTTCAACCATAGAGAATGAAGTCAAAATTTAAATTAAATGATTATTTCTAACAAATAGTGGGAAAGAAATCTAATATTTACTTAATAGAGGGTTAGGTAATGAAACCAAATTTGAAACAAGTTGAATATGATTTTTTCAAAAACTTTCTAAATAAACTACAAAAATTCTGGTCAATCGTCTAGTAAAAGTTCTTCCTTGAGTGAAGGGGCAATTCATTGGATTTGGATATATGTCATCTCCCAGAGATCATATTCTTCTTTCTGAACAAGAATCTCACTTTCCTTCATCGCGAGAACCATTTTCTTTAGTAGTCCCAGAATAGTTTCCACCAATTCTGATTCCCCATACATTCCGAGATCAGCCTTCATGCATGTATCCACTCTCCTCAAGACCCCCATCCAAAAAACCCTCGCTTCAGCACACTCTGATATTTGCTTCAAGTACATCAGGACCAGGTACACATTTGTCAACACCTCCATTGATAGCTTCAGAGTCCCTTGCATTCCCGGGGTTTCCCTCTCTGCATTCTCTCTCTTCGAATACTCCAACATCTTTTCATGCAAGTCATCAACCACAGAGAACAGAACAAGCTTAATAGAAATGACAATGATGGGAGGAGTAAAGCATAGCTCTTCTGTTAACGCAAAACTCTTCTGCAGAGATATGATGGAGTGGTTTCTAATCTCTTCTCTACTTGACATGCTTTTCTTTCTGAATGCTTCCCGTAGCTCGATGGAACAAGTGGTTGTGAAGTTGGAGAGGAAGACATAGCTTTGTTCTCATCATTATTTGGATCACCATGTCCTCCACTTATGTTCCAATTGACCAGCAAAGTGACTGTATTTTGTCATCAAGTCCGCAATTTTAAGGTTCTTTTCCAAGGAACTGTTCTTCAATGCGACAAATCCAAATGTCACTTCTATGCAGAAAGGGTAGTTTAACCTCGAGATGTTGTGGGACCCGTCCGCCATCAGATTGATGATTGCCTCGACTTTTTTCTCATTAATTTATGGATGTCTGCTTGAGACAGACAACAAATGTAGGACGGATTTCCACCCGATAGGTGTTTGTAAGTTTGCATCGTACTCGTTTAAGATTGTGGTTACTGATTGTACTATGAACTCTAAATAGGTGTCTAGAATTTCCTTATCTAATTTGAACATGAGATTTATGGACTTGAAGATCAGTTCCTCAGGGACTTTGTCTTCTTGAGGTGAGGACAAAAGTTTGAGGCAGATCTTCATTATGGCTAAGTGGGTAACATTGCCTTTTCTGCAAAGGGAATTGGTGAAAAGAGGGGGAATTGTGCAACATCTAGTAGATAATTCATGGTAATGAGGCCAAAATGTGGGAATTATTTGGATGTTTGAAGAACATATGGCATCGATCAAATCCTAACGGTTTCTTCCTTCTCAGTTGCAGTACAAAATTTGTGGCCTTTCCCCGCTGCAGAAAAAATGAGCGGACGCCCTAGATTTTGAACGGTCTATTCGGGCAAAGTTGAACTTGTGTTGAAAATGTTTCCTATCCGAAATTGATTGATAATATTTATGTTGATTTCAAACTCACTCACTCTGAGGTTCAGAGGCTCTTCCAAATTTTCCATTGATAAAAACAGTGAGAATCGTCCCATTAGACCACTGGACGCTCTTGAACCCGACCTCTCATGTCATCACCTGTTAGAGGAGGAGGGAGTTTTTGGTTCAACAAAAATAGATTGCGAGAGAGTTTTTAGCCTCATGAGTTTCAATAGGCAATCCACTATGGTCCTCCAACCTCCTCTGGTGAAGTTCTTGAAACTGTTTGCTACAGTGAAAACCGCCAGGGTGGCCATCTTCGACTGCATATCATTGTTGAAGGTGTACATTGTTTCTTCCGACGATGCATAAAGGTTTAAGAGTGTGGTGATTTTGCAAAAAGTGCAAACGAGATCGTCCAACGTGTCCGCTAACCCGGATTGACATATTCTAGCTGTGGAGAATAGTGCTTCGATGCATTCATGAAGGATTTGTTCTACGTCTGTCTGTTCGAAAATTGCTACCTTGTTTAAAGCAAAGAGTGAACTTCCCAAATAAGATTCAACACACTCAATTTCCAAAATAAGATTTAGAGGTGTATTCATTAGGGACATTTTAAGACATTTTTAGGATTTATGAAATCTTGATGTATTTGATTAAGACTACATTCTAGGACATTTTTTAAATCCTAAAATGTCTAGGTGTAATCATATTGGACTTAGACATGGATTGTATTTTACAACTTGGACTTATCCAAACTTACAAGCCTAAATACAAGCACAAATCCCATTCCCAAATCTCACCCTCTCACGTGAGAATGTGAGATTTGAAATCTATCGACACAAAGCATAAATCAAGAACGACAAGAGCATCTATTTTCCTTCTTGTTTCACATATGTGAGGAGTCACCACTGTGCGATGCCGCTATGTATTCCCTTGGTCAAAGTCTGAAACTTCTGTGTTGGATCAGTTAGAAGGTTGTCGGGAAAAATACCGCCCCGGTCGGAAGAGATCAGAAACCTATATTCACGTGTCCTCCTCTTGGCTTCGAGCTCCCAACCACGCTTCCTGCTCGGACGAATCCCTAACTCCATCAATGAATCTATGTCGTGGCCTACAAAACTCCATCTCTGAATCCCTAAAATAAAGCTCCCACTTTGATGAAAATTGGTAACTTGCAGGTACGGGCAAGATAATCTTCAAAGCTTTTGAGCACCATTCAAAGCTTTTGAAATAAAGTGTCCGCTTTGATGAAACTTCATAAAGCTTTTGAACACCATTCATAATCCATAAGTCTTGATATGTCTAACACAAAAATCCACAAAAATCTACTCAAGTCCATATAAGTCTACTAAAATCACATATTGTCGCAAATCTTAATAAGTCTAAATAAGTCCCAAATGAATACACCCCTTAATGTCTAGAATTTCATAAATAAAACAATATTTGTATTTGGATAAAATATCTTTATACGGTTGGAGCATTGCCGTTGCGCTTGTTGGACTACCACTACCAACAGATTGTCCCGATATGATGGGAGAACTAAGGGAACAATTAAGTATACTAGAGTAAAAATTATATTAATTAATAATATTAATTAATTAAGCACATTAATTAATTATATAAGGGTAAAAGATCAATTTTCTCTAAAGCAAAGTAATTGTTTTTATTACATTAGAATGCATAAAATTAATATGGGCCTAAGTTTAGAGCTGGGCTAAGTGAAGATATTAAGAACTTTCTGTCTCAACAGCCCTGCCAGCACATGAGCTATGACTATGAGTACTCCGTTGGCGCGAAAAGCTGCCAGGCTTCTTCTAAGACAAAAAATTTCCCTCCATAACAATCGATCAATTTATATTTTATACTATACTATGTACTGCGTAGTACCCATTTCAAATTTCCCGGATTCACTAAAACCCTGATATTCATCTTCCCGCGAATCAGTCCGCTTTCTCGGCTGAGGGATGGCAAAAAGTTTCATTGATGATCTCCAGGATGTACTAACCGGCGTATCGTCACCATCGTCGTCTACAAGCAAACAGTTAGCGTATTCAAAACTCCTGAACCTCCAACAGCTCTCTTCTAGCAGCAGCGCCGATCCTTCTTTCATCACATTGCTTGCGGACTCTTCGTCTACACTATTGCGATCGATTCTCATTGATATCTTCGATCAGGAAGAAGAAATGATGTTAGACGCCTACCCCCTATTTTCCATTGTTAACTAGTCACTAGAAGTTTCTTTCTTTATCTTTGAAATAACAGTGCCTTTGTTTTTGGTGGTTTGATTTAGTTCCGTACAGGCTTTGAAGTGTTTGGGGTTTATGGTTTATCATCCTTCCATACTTGCTTCAGTCAAAGGTCAGTCCTTTGGTTTCTTTTTTGCTAGCAGTTTATCTCTCAGCCTTTGGATTTCATTGATAGGCCCATTTCAGCTGGTTATATTGGTTTGTTTTGGTGGTACTTGATAGTCTTTGTTGCAAGACTATGGACGAAATTCACAAATAGGACTGATTATCCTTTATTCCCAAAGAGAACTTATTTAGTCCTTTAGAAAAGCAACAGTTGAAATATATTTTTGAAGTAGTGAATAGGTCGTATTTTGGGAAAAAGCAATTGTGGTCTTATTCATGCAAATGTGTTATGTTCTACACTTATTAGTGAATGGGTAATAGTTTTTTAAAAAATACTCGTTTTGAGACATTATAGATAAAGCACATATATTAATTAATTAACCTTTGGACAGAATACATAATATTTATCATTTTAATATCATCTCCATTTGAACAACATAAATAATTGGAACTTGGAAGTTATAACTAAACCTAAGTAACACAGATTAGCACGAACTAGTTAAGTAAATATTTGGAGTCACCAGCCAGAATCAACATCAAGTTGGGGATTGGAGGGAAACAAAAATAGCAATAAGGCCCCAACATATACGAAACGAGTTTTCTAACGTATTGGTGCAATATAGGTGGTGATATAATGTTAACCTGATCAGCTGATGCCTTTCAATTGAACTGATGCAGGCGATGATGCCAACTTGATTGTTGAGTCACTTGTTAAGGTTATTACAACAACCAAGATAAAGGTAAATTAAAATCCTAGTAAGTATTAAATGTGCTATGTTGGACTTGAACCATGTAAGTGGAGAGTAAGTAAATGAGCAGTGCTGTTTATTGGTTGTTGCAGTGGGTTTGCAATTTGGGTTTGTGGTGTATATCAATGCAACAGTTTAAGACACCGCTTTTGGACACACATTTTCATGTTTTGTTAAGGGCAGTTGTCTATGGCCTTAATAATCCTATGGGCTCTCTTTCTATAACATTCGAGGCTTTGCAGGTAAGTGATCTACCCATTTCAGGAATGATTTTCTATTCAAATTCTGTGTGCGGACTGTAAACATTGTATTTTGTGAAAAGGATTATTTAAAAGGAAAGCAGAACCTTTTAGAGATCATAGGACAAAAGTCTTTTACTATTTTTCTGAATTGAAGAATATGAATGCTCATATGTGCTGTTTGGACTAGTTACAACCTGTTCATATTACTGTCATTTTTGAGTTTTTCTATTTGTTTTGATTTACGATTTTATGTGATATGATATATGATGTATGGTGAACTAAAAATTAGCAATGCGTATACTAATCATGGTAATCTTTTAAACTGCCAGTAAAAAATTGAAATCTTTTTTCCCCTGGTTTTCAAAATACTGGCTTTAGTTAAAAAACAGAAAAGGGTAAGTAGAAAAATATAGCGGAAATGCCCTAAATTATGAATTACCTGATTATGCAAACCAACTTCCTCTTTAAAGCTTGGTTTTTATTCAGGCATACAATATCGTAATCTCAATGTGCCGACTTTAATAATGATGCCAATGCTGATTTAAGGAATACAGATATCTAAACTGTATTCTGAAAGTATCGTGCTCATTCTTTGCTGATTTTAAAGGCAGGCTGTGATGAAGTTGGCTGGTTCATTAGGCGAAAAGATGAGAAACTTATCCCATTTATGGGTTCCTCCCCTTTATAGAAGACTTACAAGTGATAATAAAAGGGAGAGGGAAATGTCTGAGAGATGCTTACTAAAATTGAAGAGCATTATATGTCCTCCACCAGTCACTCTTTCCAAGGTAAAATGGCTTTGGTTGCCATTCTCTGCACATGCATGAATTTTATATACTTGGCTAAATCTAGCATGATTAGCCATTAGGTACCATTTGTTTTTGGACAGTGTTTACCTGGATAATGTTTTATGACTTTCCAGTGTTTGGCTCATAAAAATATTTTCCTGGAGTGTTTTTCCTTTGATTAGCACCGTAAAATATTTTCTCATTCTTTGGAATCCTGTGGAAAATGACTTTTTGAAACAGGTTTATGTTATCTATTTGGTAGGTTTAACATTAGATTGTCCATAGAACAACTTCTTTCCCAGGAAAAGTTCCATAGATAACAATTCTGCAAAACTTTTTCAAAGGAAAATGTTTCTCGCATTAAGTTTTTTTCCATGTAAGCAAACGGAGCCTAGAAGAAGGGAGAAAACGACCTGGGAAAAACAGAGCCTAAATTAAAGGAAAAAAGGAACCGGGGGGAGGCTTTTATGCATATAAAGTTGCATGCACAGTAGTATTTACTTACAATATAATTTTTTCAAATACCCTTGAATCAAGCCATCATGGAGATATGAATCCGTGTAATTTTTACACAGGCAGTTGTCCTAGACTTGAAGAAAAAATTGCTTTCTGAAATAGAAGACATGATCAATCACGGGAAGAAGATCGAGGCTCTTAAAGCATGGGGATGGTGTATGCGCTTACTTGGACCTTATTTGACCAAACATAAGCATTTAGTCAATGAGTTGCTCAAACTTCCAACACAGACTTTTTCAGACTTTGATCCACAAGTTCAGATTGCTTCACTGGTATTGTTACTATTAAGTGCGAACACTCTAACTTTTGCAGGTGCAGTGCAGTGGGTCAGATATTTAACTCTGATCATTATTGTGTGATGAGATTGGGGTACACATAGCAGCTATAAAATGCTTAACTATTTCAAACATGTTTATCAATCACGTTGATGAAGGACTAGGTTGAGTTTTTGTGCCTCTAAAACATATACTCCCTCCGTCCCCTTTTAAATGTCCCAGAAGAGGGTGGCACAAATTTTAAGAAAAGTATGTTTGTGTGGTTGATATTAATAGATAAAGTAAGAATAAAGTAAGAATAAAGTAAGAATGATTTTGAGCCACACAAACTTTACCAAATAAGGTATGGGACAATTAAATAGGGACATCCTAATATGGTAAAATGGGACATTTAAAAGGGGACGGAGGGAGTATCAAATTATCAACACCCTAGCCAATAAATATTTACCCCCCCACCCCCCACACGCGGGTGCCAAATATAGGTCTATGTTTTTTGGCACAAATGTTAAGAAACAAATGATATTTGGTTAACTTCCCATTGCTGCCCATTAAAAAGTGAGTAAATTTGATTAAAAGTCGGGCATATAGTTCAATATGTCAAACCAGAAAAGGGTAAATTTCGAAAAGTATAAAGTTAGTGGAGCTCAAAAAAGAAGAGTGGACATAATTGCGGGAGAAACCAAAAAGGAAAGTGAGGCTTACACACATGAGCCATTTTACTATGCCACCACCATTTTCTTTTAGAATGATTTTAATGTTAGGGCTTATTTAGTTGAGGGGTTTTGGAGGAGGGTGAGGGTTCATTGGTTTGTGCTTTACTTATCTCTTTTTGTTTGCAATAGACTAGCATTTAAGTACACGTGTAGGTTTAATTAACTCATGTATTTGTGTATAATTTGTCATGTCCACCTTCTTTCCAACTATCTCATTGTAAACACACATTATTATCAATAAAATAAATAAATATCTACCCCCTTCCCTTCCCTCCATAATCCTCAACCAAACAAGGGCTTAAGCTTTATCTTCAGACTTCAATAAAGGTGGTTATGTCCCTTAATCTCAGGTTTCCTGGCAAGGTTTCATTGATGCATTAATCTGTCCACCATTTGATGATCCTGAAACCAGTTCCGCTACTGGGAATGCTGCAGATGATGTGAAAGTAGATGAAGGGGACTGTAAAAGGACCATTCCAAATGGATTTTCCAAGAAGATTTTGCTTATAATGACACCTCTTATAGGAATTATGAACAGTAGATGTGATTTATCTGTTCATGCATCATGTCTCTCCACATGGTGTTATCTATTGCATAAGCTTGATACTTCTGTCAGCCATGATCCAGTGGTCAGAATTGCGTGCCAACCAATTTTTGAACTTGTATTTCAAACCGGACCTAAGGACAAGAACATGTGCTCATGGAATTCTTGCATTGAACTACTTGATAATTTTATATTAACGAGAAGTGGTCGAAATGAAAGCACAATTCTCCATGGAGGTGCTGATTTGTCTCCTATCAAATGGTCACCTTGGGATCTAAGTCAACTGGAGTTTTTTGTGAATATGATACATTGTTTGTTCAACCAAAGATCTGATCCTGTGGGGCCTGAAATATTAGTAATGTTGACACACAATGCTGTGTCAAGGCTATTCAGATCTCTGTTGAGATCGGTTCAGAATGTGTTAAGATCATCAATTGTCACTTATGATGAGGTTATACTATGTCTAAATGTTATTTTGAAGTTCTTCCAGGACTTGCTTGAAAAAACAGGTACAAGCAATACAATCTCCCTTCAACTTTTATATTCTGCAGTGGAGGAGTTAGACCCTTCAGTACTTGAATCCCCTCTGTACAAAGTGGAGTTGGATATAGAAGCCCTTCAAAATGTACAGCCAATTTGTAGGAATCTCAAAACATCAGACATTGATGGTGTGGCTTATATGAGAAAGGTTTCTCGTGCAGTGTATATATGTGTTCTCTACTTTATCACAGTGATCAAGTTTCCTTTGGCTGTCATACCTGAGATGTGCAGCTTTCTGAAATTGATACTCTCTTCATATGACACAATGGAGATGCTAAGGGTGTTTGTTGGTTTATTGTATACTCACAAGGAATCAAATTGCTTCGAGATATGGCTAACCATTGCAAAATGTCTTAAAGAGTACATAATGAAAGACATCCCCAGTTATTCTGCAGTTATGCTTCTCCTAAACTATCCGTTTGCTGCTTATTCTGTCATTCAGAAGCAGTTTGAGATTTCAAGTGTCACTGATACATGGGAATTATTTTATGGTTCTATCTGTCAATGTTCACAAATTTGCCATATGGATTTGACAAGGGACATGTTTGGCATTTTGAATGGAAACTTTGATGAGAAGTGTGGTGACTTTGATTTTGTCCTATTATTAGGAAATGCAATGATATGTGTTTTGGAGCAGGCTATTAACAATAAACATAAAAGTAAATATCATGATCCCGAGAACCTCAACAATGCCATTATAAGCTTGGAAATTGCTCTCAGGTAGCCTTCATGTTATGTTGCAGAAGTCCATTTATTGATTAATGTTCTCTGGGGGCCCATTTGAACTTTGGAAATGCTAGGGAAACAAAATCGAAAGAAAGCCATAAGAAAAAAATTTAAAGGAAGAAAATGTGGGGGAAATAAAAAATATGCTAAACTCTTAATTTATTTTAGATATTTCTTGATACTCATTGTATTTATTTATGTGTATTATATAAAGACTAAGAAATGGAAAGCTTTATGTTTTTTTATAAATATATAAAACTAATCATTATTCTTTTTATATTTCACTTTCCAAGGTATAGTCAAATCATAAGCAAACATTTTTACCATTTTATTCCTTTCTCTAGCATTTTCCGTAATCCAAATATACCCTATGTTGTTATAGAACTTCTGTGAGCCTGGAAAGTTTAAACTTTGTTGGGAATTTGAAAAGAGAAAGTGATTCCCATATTTGGTGATGCCTTGGACATGATAAAGTTTGGTTACCTGGAAAGCAATGGAAAACATTTCCAACCTTGGAGTGACGTGTAACACTTTCCTTCAAAGCATTTTCCAAAAAAATGCTCTATTTGCTAACATAAACTCAAACTCAGAAATCAACTTTCATAAATCATAAGTTTATTTTTTCTTTTTGCAAATATTTTCCAGGATGCAAATATGCCCTTAGAGCATCAGATCTTAGATAGTCACTTCATCCAATAACATCTCATTTATGTCTTACTTTGGAGTATGGATATGGTGATGGAGTGATGGTAGATTTGAATGTTCCTTGTCAAGTTTCTGGATTTTCACAAAATATGAAATTATCTGGACTCTTTAATGACTTTAAAAGCATGCTTAGTTAGATGTTTTCATCTCATTAACCTGAAAGTTGGGAAAAGGAACAATCATATGTGTCCGCGCACAGGTTCATGAAGATGCCTTGGGTGATTGAAGAAGGAAATTTGCAAATGAGCTTTACTCTAGCATCAAGGTATCCTGATAACTGCTCTTAGTTAGTTCTTTTATATAAATCATACTGTCATTCGTTCTGAGTTTCTAACCTCAGAGCGTTTCAGGATACTGTCAAAACTGGCCAACTTCATTGGGTGTTTTCCACTACATCATGGTTTTATCTCATTTTTCGAGGTTTGTCTTTGACTATTTGACATGTATGAAGTGATTTAACATGCCTTGTAAAATAGTGGCTAGTTAGAGCAAATCAGCCTTGAATACAGGTACTTCTTAAAGCGTGGTCACTCCAAAAAGATTTCTCAATCGGTAAAGTTTAATTCATGTTTATATATTCATCAGATAGGTGGACACTTTAACAATCAGTCTCAGTTGTCCCAGACTCCCAGTCCCAACCCGCCCCTATTTCTGTTAAAAGTCTCTGTGTAATTTTTTAACCAGCAAAATAATAATATCTGTAACTTCACATCAGTTGTACATTGAAATTTTGATTTGGTGTTTCCCTCCCAATTCAGATTACAACAAAACCACTTCTTCTGTGGCTGTCGCGTATGGATGTCCAAGACGATGGCTTCAAAGATCAACTGCATATGTTATGGAGTGAAATCTTGAAGAATCTGCAGAAGAGCAGCCAAACAGCATTGAACTTCGATTCATCATTTCTGAAACTGCAATCCCCCCTTCTGGAGAAAACTCTAGATCACCCAGACCCAAACTTTTCCAACCCATCCATCCAGTTTTGGAACGCCACATATGGTGAACAGATAAATTTACAATACCCTGAAACCTTGCTTCCCGTTCTTGACAAGCTCTCGAGGAATGGGAGGTTGAGTCTCTCCAGAAAAACTCCGCCCTCTCAAAAGATATGGAAGGTCACTGCCTCCTCCCTTAACCGGTGGTCCAAAAGAGTTGAGTTTGCTCATGAGAAAACAGCAGTGGGCGGGAAAAGGAAATTTGATGAGCTGACCGAACATCAGAAGGAAGTGAGACGTGCTCAACAAGGGCGGGCGAGTGACTCCCTTGGTCGGGGCCCGGGGATCCGGACTTACACCAGTGTTGATTTCTCTCAAGATAATGAAGAGTCACAAGAGAGTCAGGACATTAGAGATGCTGATTCCATCCTGGAGATGTTGAGGAAAGTTCATTAACAATTTAACATGCCAGGACATTGCTTTAAAAAATTTCAGTTAGGGGGTGTCTTAACTTGTGCAAGTTAAAGACTAAGTAAACCTGTGGATACGTACTAGTGTAATAATAGGTATATCATACCTACTGTCCCTAATTGGATGGGTCTCTAGGTACTCAGTAGTCATCGAGTTTCGACAGTTTTGTATGGGAATTGAGTATTCTCTGTTCTCCTTCCCCACACTATTAGAGAGATGACGTACAAAGCATTCAATGTGGAAAGTAAAGTAGGGGTGGAGAACACATAAAAATCATTCTTCTTTCTGTGAAAATTGCAAATTGTTCACCTTTTTCCAATGTGATGCACTATCAGGTTTATATGTTGCATTTTTTCGCATTGACAGAAAACTTTGATTTTATCAAAATGCTACCACATTTTCTAATTTGACATGGCTCGACTCAAATTCAAAAAGTGCAATAGACCACCCTTAAAGTGCATCACTTGGGGTAAAAAGTGAAAAATTTGAAGTTTTTACGTCAAAGACATCTTTTATTTGATTTGGAACTAGCACAATAGGATAAATAAATAATATATGCAATAAATTGAGATGGCTTCAAAAGAAAAAAAAAATAATGTATATATTGTATACATGTGTAGTTGTACACCCTTTTAAAGTGGACCGTGTATATTGCAAACGCCCAACTTGAAAATAAATATTTGAACTAATGAGCACCGGGAGCTTTATAAAAATACCAATAAGTTGTTCGGTTTTGGAAATACTAGATTCATACTCGTGTGATGCATAGAATAAATTTTAGTAAAACACTATCTCGTGTTTATATCTATATCTATATAATAGTAGTATAATAAAGCAAACCCCTAAAGAACCATTTAGAGGAATTGTTGACATGTGGCAACATCCTTTTTATGAAAAATGACATGTGCCAACACAATAAATTAAAGAAAAAACTCTTCAACTTCCAAAACTCTACTCTTATGTACTCCAATATTTAAGAGAGAATTCCCTAAATAGGAGTAAAAAAGTTTTGAAAATTCAAAATAGGAGTATCATGTTTTTTATTCCCTAAATAGGAGTAAATTTTTGCCAAACATGACATTACTAGGCTTTAAACATAGCATTTTCTTCCAAACTTGGCAGATTACTTCTGTTCAGGGAATAAAAAACATGATACTCCTATTTTGGAATTTCAAAACGTTTTTTCTCCTATTTAGGGCAATTTCTAAATATTTAACTATGTATATATGTATTTATATTTAGGGGATGAATCCGGTACTAACTGTGTTTATCGTGCTAACTTTGTGCAATGCATATTTATGCTATTTTTATGTGATATTATTATGTCATGAAATACATAGTTGAATGTTAACGTTTAAAGTGTTGCATCCAAAAAAAGTTTAATTTTATTATCAAAATGTCATTGTGCGTTTTTAGCCTCTAGATCAACTCAATGGATGGCCGAGATCAATTTGTATTTGTAAACTAAGAGGAATTTGTATATGATCTCTTATCAATATTTATACATGTGTATATATTTTTCATAATATTCTGTACAAAATTAGGTAGAACTTTATGCTCGCCGGTAGTATAAAATGCAAATACTCAAAAATAAAAACAATTAACAATTTTTAGCCTCTCTTAAAATAAATATATTACTCTCTATTTCTTTTCCCAAAATTTGATAACTATTAAATTGTTGATAGACTATACGTCTAGAGAGAAGTGAGAGCTAGAGATATAAGTGATTTGCATTAATGAATTTCCAATCCTTACAACTATTCCCAAAGGGGTATTTATAGGGAAAAGCGGGTTGGGCTCCCAAATCTTGGGCTTGGGAGGTCCATTACAATATAAGGCCTCTATTGGGCTGATTAGATTCGGATACATGAGCTAAGTATGGAAATCTAGTAGACGAAGTCCTTGGAGACGTACGTCTGGCTGTGGCAGACGAAGTCCTTGAAGACGTACGTCTGGCCGTGGCAGACGAAGTCCTTGGAGACGTACGTCTGGCTATGGCAGACGAAGTCCTTGGAGACGTACGTATGGGGACGTACGTCTGGCTGTGGCTGAAGACGAAGTCCTTGGAGACGTACGTCTGGCTGTGGCTGAAGACGAAGTCCTTGGGGATGTACGTCTGGCCGTAGCTGAAGTCCTATGCTTGATGTCGCACGTCCCCGGGTGGTTGCATGTAGCTGGAGGCCGTACATCCCCGGGGTGTTCCCCGTGCTTGACGCCGTACGTCCCCGGGTGACTGTTACGTGCTAGAGGACGTACGTCCCCGGGGTCTTCTCATGTAGTTGGAGGCCGTACGTCCCCGGGTGACTGTTACGTGCTAGAGGACGTACGTCCCCGGGGTCTTCTCATGTAGCTGGAGGCCGTACGTCCCTGGGGTCTTGCCATGTGTTTGAGGCCGTACGTCCCCGGAGCCTTGGTCCTGTTCGTAGCAGTGGAAGTATGCAAGTCATGGGGTCTAGACTCGTATACTCCATCAATTGTATTTTTTTTTTACAAAAGAACTCATTGTAAAAAATAAAGGTTCAATTAGATCTTTTGAGTAAATATTTGTAAACAATGATTATTAATTGTTAAAAAAATATTTTCAACTAAAACATAAAAATATGCTAGAGTAATTTGTTTAAATAATTATTATAGGATTAATACTTCAACAAAGGTTATAAAATATTAAGTATTTTTGAAAATAATTTTGGTGGTAATCCATTAATATTGAAGACAATGAAAGTAAGAATTAGACATTTAGGGTCTGTTTACTAACAGAGATATTTTTCAGTTTTCTAGAAAACTTGAAAACTAGAAAACAGAAAAACGTGTTTACCAAACCGTTTTCCAAAACGAAAAAATGAGACATGTCTCTCTTTTTCTTAATGATTCGGAGAAGTGACTTTTACTAGTTTTTCAAATTTGGAAAACGCAGATGCTACAGGCTGTTGCAGTGAATTTGCATACTTACACCTAGTGGTGGGTCCGGTCTCGCTCCGATGTCGATTCCATTCTAGTACCTCCATCCTCGTACCTTACTCTTACCCCTACCCTACCCACCCAACCCCCACCCCGCATACCCCTTTTCCCTACAATGACCCTACCCCACCCCCTACCACATGCCCTTACCTTGGTCCCAACCCGATCCACTCTACCCTACCGCCACCCCTACCACCTCAACCCCACCCCGACCCAACCTACCCTTACCCCCACCTCGTATATTACCCCTTACGCCTACATTACCCCTTCCCACACAGGGGCGGATCTGGCATAGGGCCAGGGAGGGCCTAGGCCCCACCTCAAAAAAAAAACAAATTACTAGTGTGTATATATATATATATATATATATATATATATATATATATATATATATATATATATATTATGTACTGGGAAGAAATGGTATAATTAGAACAAACGTCCTATTGTAAACAAAAGTTACGTTGGTGTGATGGTAGAGGCGTGATTGGCAGTATAGAGGTTATGTGTTCGATTCCTAGCTGGAGCAGCATTTTTTTTGTATTTTCCATCCATGTCCAGGAACATGCTATCTTACACAAATCAAGTCTGAATTTTAACTTTTGAATACTAGGATGTAAAAATTAAGTAGTCCAACTAATTGGGCTTTATTAGTCTGAAAAACCAATTAGTTCAATTGATTGAGCTTTTTGAATATTGTCCTAAAAATTAATTAGTTTAATTCATTGGGCTTTTGAATATTGACCGAAAAATTAATTAGTTGAATACATTTGATTTCGTAGGTGAAAATAAGTTTTCTTTATATAGAGTATAGATTTTAGAGTAAAAAAACCGGTTTATCTTGTTTCCGAGAAACTAACCTAAAAATTGACACTAAACATTTGGGTAACCGATAAAATTCGGTTCGATATCTATGACTTTTAAGATAATTGTATTGTCGGTTCTGTAATATTCAATTTATTCTTTGACATTTCTATAATTTACATTTTGACTTCTAAGATATTATTATACTATACTACATTTTGACATTTTTTTATAATATACGTTATTTAATTAAATTTTGGCCCCACCTGAACGTAAATGCTAGATCCGCCCTTGTTCCCACATGTCCCCTACCTCAGCCCCACCCTACCGCCATCCTACCCCCACCCTCGTACCGCCATCCTACCCCCACCCTACTGCCATCCTACCCCCACCCTACCCCTTCCCCTACCTCGGCCCCACCCTGATCCCGACCCCACCCTACCGTCATCCTATCCCAACTCCCTACCCTACCCCTACCTTACCCCAACCACAACCCCTACTCACTACCCCCACCCTTACCCCTAACCACCACCCAAACCCACGCACTACCCCACCCAACCCCGTACGCCTAGCCCTTACCACCCACCCCACCCACCCCATCCATGCCTACACTTCAAGGAGTTTCACTCATTACTCTCAGTGGTAAGGGTAGGGGTAGGGGTCAAGGGTGTGGAATTGGGTGTAGGGCGCGGGTACGATGTATAGGGGCAGGGTAGGGGTTAGGAGTATGGGTACACGTACGAGGTGATCGACCCCGCATATTGTATTATATGTATTTGTGTTCATGAATGTTTGTGTGTCTACATATGTATAGGGTTATTTTGGACATTTTAATGTTAATCGGTGTTTTAAACCTTTTGAAGTAAACATGATTTAATAACATTGCTTATTTTATGTGTCGCTTATTAACGCGAGTCTTGATAAGCATCATTTAGTAACCCGTGAAGTAAACGTGTCAGCCTTCTGGATGATCACATAACTGAGTGAAAAAATTGATGAACATGTTTTCAGATTTGAAAATGGAAAACTAGAAAATAGAAACAGAAAACTGGAGATAGAAAAACTGAAAAATAAAAACATAAAATTGGAGAACGAAAAACAGAAGTAGAAAACAAGAAAATATCTTTGTTAGTAAACAGGCCCATAGGGACACCTCTAACCCACCGTGAAATATTTTGGTAAGTCGCAACTTGCATGAGTCAACCCACTTAACCTGCAACATGTGCAAGTTGACCTACAAAATCGGCAAGTTCATCATGTTAAAAAGTGACACCTCTAACCCATCGTGAAATGGGATGAAATAGGCTAACCTTATAGACATCGAGTCATTTTGACAACTCTATCCATAGTCGACTAAATTTTCTTTTAAACACTAGTTGATGAATTCTCATACAGTTGATTTCCCTTATAATTGTATCAAAAACATTAAACGCATATTTACCGTGCTGTGCATGAGTACACACACTAGTATCATACTATTTCTAAAGTAATGTATGAGA